GAGACTCTGTCTCAAAAAAAAAAAAAAAAAAAGATCCGTTGGGTAAATCGAGGACCTGCAGGTGTGGTTCAAGCTTTGTCTTGCATAGCTTTAGGCCTGTTAATGAGTTACAAAGGGTGTCTCCAGGAAGGGCAGGGTCATGACAAGGCACCTCTGACCTCCCTTCTCTTGGCTAGCAACTCTCAGCTTTAGGATATTTTTGGTGTCCCCTTGGCCAAGACAGGGTCCATTCAGTCAGCTGGAGGGGGCTTAAGATTTTACTTTAGTTCACACTAGGTGGGAGCCAGGCTTCTGAGGGGAGAGTAAGGGATTTCCCAATCCCCCTCCCCCGTCCTCAGTGTGCTTTGTCTCTAGAAAGGGCGGTCAGGAGGGCCTGCCTCCTAGGGGTTATCCTGAGGGTGAAATGAGTTAACCATTTAAAGTGGTTACTGGAGAGCCTGGCACAGGGCAAGCCTCAGTACGTTCGAGTTAAAAAAAAACCTGGGCTGAGGGGTTTGGGGCTGCTGAGCTGCAGTGTTTTCTCTGAGTCAATGGTTGCAGTGGAGTTGCAGGGTGGGTAGGAGAGGAGCAGCCGTCCAAGAAACCCCTAGGCTGGCACATCCTTCTGTTTTATTTGTGGCTTAGGGTTCCCTTATACACAATCAAAAATATCCGTGGACAGAAAAATACCACTTTCATGAGTAAGCAGTTTGGTAGGTAAAGTTCACCATACCTGGGTAGAGAATGTTGTCCAAAATAGTGTTATTTATTGTTTTAAAAATTACTTCTAGGCTAGGTGCAGTGGCTCACGCCTGTAATCCCAGCACTTTGGGAGGCTGAAGTGGGAGGATTGCTTGAGGCCAGGAGTTTGAGACCAGCCTGGGCAACATAAACGAGACTGTGTTTCTACAAAAAATTTAAAAAAAAAATTAGCCAGACGTGGTGGTGACCACAGGTGTCAGTACTCAGGAGGCTGAGGTAGGAAGATCGCTTGAGTCCAGGAGTTGGAGGCTGCAGTGAGCTATGATCCTGCCGCTGTACTCCGGCCTGGGGGACAGAGTGAGACCCTGTCTCAAAAAAAAATTATATTTCTTTATGATCATAAAAGTAATACATATTCCTCATTAGGAAAAAAAAAAGATTGGTGCAATATATAAGATAATCAAATTTAGTCCCCTTACTCTAGTCTCCTCAATACAAAATGGTTATTGGAGTTATGTTTTGGTGTATTTACTTTCAGTCTTTTATGTGTTTATTCCGTAGTTGTGATTGTTATACGTATATATACGCACATTTTGTGTATAAAATTTTGTGACCCGTGATTGCATTGTACACCAGCCTAAAGTTACTAGGTAATTTTTAGAATCATTGTTTTCCTATACGTAGATTTTTTTAAATGAAGTCTTTTTTAGAGCAGTTTTAGGTTTATAGAAAAATAAGTAGAAAGTGCAGAGTTTCCATATACTCCCTCATCCCTTTTCTCCAGTTTCCGCTATTAACATTTTGCATTAGTGTAGCACATTTTTTATAATTGATGAGCCAATATTGATACATTATTATCAGTTAAAGTACTTAATTTGCCTTAGGGTTCATTCTTTGCATACACTGTTTTGAATGTTTGTTTGACTTAATGTGTCTTTTGACCAGTAATGTCTATCGTATGAATATATTTATCCAGGGTAAATACAAACACGTTTGAAAAAAGAGTTTGTGTGAATTCAGGGTCTTGTCTTTTCCTGAACTGTTCTTTAAATCTTTCTTTGCTTTGCCCTGGGGGAGGTAGCTGACGTGATATCTTTCTTTAATACAGTGCTGTACTTTTTTTGTTTTTGCTGTGTCTGCATTCAGGATTTCCTTTGGCAGTCAACTCTTACCCAGCAATGCCAGCCTCTGCACCTGACAACCCTTCTCATACTTCTTGTGCTGTTTAGACCTCCCAATAGAGTGGGGCTGGTAAGGGGGGCTGCTTTCCTGGGTGATAGTAGAGTCCGCTGGGGATCCCACGTGTTAGATTTTGAGTTAAGTGATAGAGTTCAAAGTTGAGGGAGGAGGCGCTTTCTCCCAACTGTGCTTTTGGAGCTCCGGCCAGTAGGGCAGTGACTTAGCGAGGCAGCTGGTGCTTCAGTTAAGAAAGACCAAAGCTTGATCCCCTTCTGGTCTTCACACTTTCCCTCTTCGATCCTCTCATGTGTGAGGCTATCTTTGCTTGGCCCTCATCCTTTTGGCTGGCCTGGCCTGTGTTAGGACAAACAACTGTTTCATTTAATTCATTTGAGTTAAGCCTGGAATTTTTTTTTTTTTTTTTTTTTGAGACAGAGTCTCACTCTGTTGCCCGGGCTAGAGTGAGTGCCGTGGTGTCAGCCTAGCTCACAGCAACCTCACACTCCTGGGTTGAAGTGATCCTTCTGCCTCAGCCTCCCGAGTAGCTGGGACTACAGGCATGCGCCACCATGCCCGGCTAATTTCTTTATATATTTTTAGTTGTCCAATTAATTTCTTTCTATTTTTAGTAGAGACGGGGTCTTGCTCTTGCTCAGGCTGGTTTCGAACTCCTGAGCTCAAACAATCTGCCCGCCTCGGCCTCCCAGAGAGCTAGGATTACAGGCGTGAGCCACCACGCCTGGCCAAGCCTGGAATTTTTGAAAGGGAACATTTTTCTTTAAGGGAAATGGAAACAAAGCGAAACATGTGGATGGGGCAGTTTTTAAAAACTGATTTCTTTCTCGGGGGTACTGAGACTTGCTTTCCTTCACGAGCTGGTTTCGGCATAGAATGCTACTCATTTCTGTGTCTCTGTGTGTCCTCATTTTTCTTCTCTGTCTCTGGTGAGAGGGCACTGGGAGTCTCTTCCTTCCCTTGAGGACAGGGAACTGCTAATGGACCATCTCTTATTGTAAAAAGAAATAACCAGGTAACTGGTAGCTCTTTGACATGGGGATGTCTATTATTTTCCCAAAGGCTCAGCTAATACTTCCTCAGTGCTTTTAGTTTCCGCCACATGGCTGTCTTCGGTGTCCATGTGACTTCATGGATGAATTGTGCAGGGACGAAGACTCTCGTTGCCCATGGTGGGGGAGGGTCTGGGTCTGTCGAGGTCCTGCCATGCTAGGACCCGGCAAGCTCACACTGGAAACATGGCCATCTTCCTCATTTCCTGTTCCTCTCTGATTTCGCTCTCCCCGATGCTAATCCTGGCTTTCTCAACCCTTGCTGCTCCTATGAATCATCTGGGGAGCTTTAAAAAAAAACAAAGATGCCCGGTTTGAGTGGTCTGGGGTGGAGTCTGGTGTAAAAGTTCTGTGGATGGTGTTTCTAATATGTAGTCAGTGTGGAGAATCAGTGCTCAATTCTCAATTACCAAGTCTTGAACGTTTGAAATTGCATTTATCTCTATTGCCACTTTTGTAGTCCAGACAGCCATCGTCTCCTGTCTGGCTCAATGGGCCTCTTGCCCAAGTCCTGTCTCTTTCCAATTCATTTTCTGCAACCTCAACTAGAATGATATTTTAAAATGTGTTGGGATTTCCCCCCCATTTAAAGCCCTCTTGTGATTTTCCCCTGCCCTTTGGATCCTTAATATGGCCCTTTGCAATATGGCCCCTACGTCCCTCTCTTGCCTGTTTGAACTTACAATTTTCCAAAACTACTACACTGTCTTCTCTTGCTCTTTGGCCTTTGCATATGCTCTGCACCCCACCCTCCATGCTTTGCCTCTGTTTTCTCTACCTCTTCACCTGGCAAACACCAGTCATACTTAAGACTTAAGCCCTAACCTCTAAACTTTAAAAAAAGCCTCCTTCCTCCCCATTCCCTTATCTTCGAGTAATGCTAAGTTGACACTCCCAGGTGCTCCGTTATACAATCTAATTCCCCCTTTGTGGCATTTACCACGCTGAACTGTAATTGCCTATTTCTTCTCTCTGCCATCCTCACTGGACCATCAGGGCTACAGGACAAAAATTATAACTGCATTGTTTGCAGAATTCTCGGGGATGAACACAGTATCTGGTGCAGAGAATGTATGCAATAATTATTTGTTGAAAGATTGCTTGAATAAAAGGTGCCCAGAATGGAAGATAAAAGGCCACATGTACTGGTCATGTCTGAGATGAAATTGACTGATTTGGTTAAACTTATAAATGTGCTGGTTAAATTCAATTGAAACATTAGTAAACCCATGCCATGTACTGGGAAATGTATAGAGTCTATGCTGATTCATTTAATGGTACAGATTTTTGTTTTCTGTTTCTAAAAGAGTGCATATTTTGTAAAAATGACAAACATTGCAGACATGTAAAATGTGGACAGTGAAAGTCTGTTAAAATTCCACTCTCTAGAAATAACCACTGTTAACAGCGTGGTGTATGTTCTTCCAAATTTAAGCAAAAGTTTATTTACCATATGCATTATTTTCTTGCTATTATCCTTGTATAGCTCTTAAATGGTTTCCCATATAAATTTACTTCATTCTTTTTAGAGAGTATTTCATTTTATGGCTGTTCCGTAATTAACCAATCATGTGCGGGTGGATGTTTAGATGGTTTCTGTTTTTCTTTACTAGAAACAGCACTGCAATGAATATTGTTGTACCTATACTTTTGCATACTTATGTATAAGCTCAATTTCGAGAAGTGGAACTGTCTAGTCAAAGGGTAGGAATGTTTTAAATGTTAATAAATTGTCAAGTTACCCTTCAGAAAAGCTGTATATATATTTTTACTTTTTATTTTTTTTGAAACAGAGTCTTGGTCTGTTGCCCAGGCTAGAGTGCTGTGGCGTCAGCCTAGCTCACAGCAATGTCAAACTCCTGGGCTCAAGCGATCCTCCTGCCTCAGCCTCCCAAGTAGCTGGGACTACAGGCGTTCATCACCACGCCTGACTGATTTTTTTCTATTTTTAGTTGGTCAGCTAATTCCTATTTTTAGCAGAGATGGGGTCTCGCTGTTGCTGAGGCTGGTCTCTAAATCTTGACCTCAAGCAATCCTCCCGCCTTGGCCTCCCAGAGTGCTAGGATTACAGGCATGAGCCACCACGCCTGGCCTAGAAAAATTGTATTAAGACACAGTTACTGGGGAGAAGCAAGAGCTTAGAATAGCCTCGAGTTCACAGTCAAGCTCTGTGAGGCAGAGTGTGAGCAGCGGTGTGTGTGTGTGCGTGCGTGTGTGTGTGTGTGTGTGTGTGTGTGTGTGAGACAGAGAGAGAGAGAGAGAGAGAGAGAGAGATTGGCTCCAGCCTGGGGGAAGGTTCGTTTTAGCTGTCCTCAAAGGAGAGGTAGAATTGAGAAGAGCTAGAGGAAGTGATGGTCATGTGGGGAAACTGTGTCTCCATTCATGAATCACATCTCAAACTTAATATGTTACAACTTGTACTTTTCGCCACCCCCAAAACCCTGACGTTTCCCTTCAAGTCTTCTTCATTGAACTAACGGCACTCCATCCTCCTAGCTATTCCAGCCAGAGACCAGGGAGTCGTCTTTCGTTCTTTTGTTTCTCTCCGCTCTTTTATCTATTGCATTAGTGTGTCCTGTCAGTGCCACGTCCACGACAGATCCTGCTCCACTTTTGTTTCCCTGGTCACCATTGCAGTCCGAAGACTAAGTCACTGTAATCTTTTTGCCTGTTTGTTTCCTCTGCGTCGGATAGTGATATTTAAAGATAAAGCTAATTATCTTATTCTGTGCCTTAAAAACCGTTAAAGGCTCGGCATTACACCCGGAATGAGATGCCGACTCCTTATAAGCGTCTAGCTTCGGACGTACAGGCCTTCCCAGTCAGCCCCTTTTATTTTGTTTTCCATGGGTCTCTTTTACATGTTCTTCTTTCCCTGGGAAGAATATCCCTACAGCTGACTTTTCCCATTCTTCAGGTTTCACCCTCAGTATCACCTCCTTAGAGATTTTCCCTGCCAATCTTTTAGGTAAAGTAACTTATCCACTCACCTTCCAAACCTGCTGTGTTCTCTGTCTAGTCCCCTTTTTATTTCCTTTGTCTTTATTAGCCCTGATGGCAGTTTGTAATTATTTGTTGCCTTTCCCCCACCCCATGCCTGGTAGATACTAGCTCATTTCAGCCCCAGTGCCTGGCCCTGTCAGTCTTGATGTGATCAAAAAGTCTCCTTTGATGTGACATACTTTGTTCTTTTACAGCGCACATCTAATACTGTGTTACAGACATGAATTTACACTTTGAATCAGACGCTAAAACGCCATTCTTTTCTTAGATTCCTGCTCCAAAGCGAGGAGAAATAGTAAGACAGATTGGTGATGCCTTGCGGGAGAAGATCGAAATCCTAGGAAGCTTGGTAAAGTATTTTTGTAGCACGTGCATAATCCTTTGAGTAGAGAACAAGGCTGTCATGCATTTCCGTGCATAAGATTGTGATTTTTTTTTTTAAGAAAAGCAATTTATAGATTTCAAAAATCCTTTCTTTAGAGGAAAGATAAGATAAATAGGAAAAAGTGAAGGCAATTCTTGTGTTTTAAAATTCTTCAGAAAATAAGAACATACTTTCTTCAGTTTATTACCCCCGCAAAATAGACACAAAATATGTTTTGCTTTCCCACTCTTCAATGTTTAAAATGTGGATTCTGTTGGAAATATTTTACTTTTTATGTTTTTAGGTATCTCTGGAGATGGGGAAAATCTTAGTGGAAGGTGTGGGAGAAGTTCAAGAGTATGTGGATATTTGTGATTACGCTGTCGGTTTGTCACGGATGATTGGAGGACCCATCTTGCCTTCTGAAAGTAAGCCGTGCAGTCAGTTAAGCTAAGAGTTTTGTGCTCTGATGTGTGGAGCGCTCCCAATACTCTGGCTGTGAACAGTTCAGAAACGAGGAATTGCAAGTGGGATATAGATATAATATGTGAAAATATCTTTGATCTTTCTAAGAAATGCAAATTAAAACAGCTAATGACGTTATGTCAAGAGCTTTTTTTTCCTTTTGTTTTAAAGATAAAATTCATGACAAATCTGTGGGTTAGACGTTCTTTTAACCCATGTGGAAAACAACTTGGAAATATACCCAAAGAGCATTAAATTTAAAGCCAGTTTTAAGAATCTAATTTAAGTAAATAATCTGAAATATGACAAAAGTTTATATGTAAAGATGTTCATTGTGGTATTAATAAAAAACATTAGAAATGACCTAAATGTCAAATCATAAGGGAAAATTTAAGCTCATTTTGGTAGACTGTTAGCATATATTAAAATAATGTTTATGAAAATCGTCTTCCTCAAACTCCACGCTTTTATGGAAAGGTTGCATTTACTTATTTTTTATTTTTCTGAGACAGGGTCTTGCTCTGTCCCCCAGACTAGAGTACAGTGGTGTCATCATAGCTCGCTGTAACCTCCAACTCCTGGGCTTAAGTTATCCTCCTGCCTCAGCCTCCCGAGTAGCTGGGACTATCAGCGTGTGTCACTATGCCTGGCTAATTTTCATACTTTTTGTAAAGATGGTGTCAAGCTGGTCTCAAATACCTGGCCTCAAGCGATCCTCCCACCTCAGCCTCCCAAAGTGCTAGGATTATTGGTGTGAACCACTGCACCTGGCCTGCATTTACTTATTCTTAAATTATATTAATGTTAATTTTTTGAAGAGATGATAATATATCAGAAAATTAGAAAGGAGTAACAGTGTAGAGGTTGAAAAGTTTCCCTCCTTATCCTCCTGGCCATGCCATAGTTCCCCATGGACGTAGTGAATATTTCCAAGTTTTTATTTATCTTTTTAGAGCTTTTGTTCACACACAGTCAAGTATGTGTTTTTTTAGAACACAAACCAAAGCAAACGACATTCTGTTCTATACTTTTATATTAAGTAACATGTCTTGGAAATTGTTTCGTATTAGTACATTAAAGGGCTTCCTTTATGGTTTTATGACTTTTGTTATAAACCTATTATAATTTGTTTAGCCAGCTCCAAACTGATGAATATTTAGGGTGGTTTTTAATCTTTTGCTATTACAAGCTATGCACCAACCTTATACTCTGAGAAGGTTTCAGTGATGAGGACAAGAGCTCATGCGATTTGTAGCGTTTGCGGTGTCGATGGAGTGAAACGGGTGACTGAGGGATGGAAGTGGACGCCAGAGCGGTAGCAGCGTTACCTCTGTGTGGCGGAATTATCGGGGGTGGTTATTTTCCTCTTTGTATTTTTCTGTATTTTCTAAAATTTCCATGATGGTAATTATGTTTATAATCAGGGAAAGAAATATTTTTTTAAAAAACAGATCTTTTCTTTTTTCCTTGGAATGCTGGGCAAATTCCCTACTTGCAGAAAGAGTTGGAGGCGCATTTTTAAATGAACAGTTAATGTCCTTAATTAGATAGATAACAGTGATTTCCATCATCCAATATTAATTTTATGTCACCGAACAGTTTCAAGAGGTTTTTCCAGCTAAGAAGAGTCAGTTAACTGCCCATTTGGGGAAGTACATGGGTGCAAGCAGGTAACTTCTTTGATTTATGCCTGCTATGATGTCTTTCTCACAATTAAAATCTTTTTCAGTGGTTTACACACTTTTTCTTTTTTAAGAAATAGAGTACTCATGTCATATATGCAGAGGCTTTGGGTAACTTCGACTTCATTAATTCAAGAAATGCTTATTGAGTATCTACCAGGTGCTAGGTGGTCTACTGGGTGATACTTGATCAATAAGGCACAGTCCCCATCTTCAAGGGATTTGTAAGTTTATAAATTCCTTACATTTTAGGTGGGAGATGAGTAAACAGATAATTCTAATCCAGCGTGGTAAGTACTGGGGGGCGAGGTAGAGGACAGGGTGGTGATTATGCAGGGGTAGCCCCTGACCCAGCCCCCTGGGTGTGGTCAGGAAAGGCCTCCTGGAGAAGGTGCCAAGATAAGACCTCAGGGAAGACAGGGACTAGGGGTGGAATAGTATAGAGCGCTACCAGGGGCGTGTTTGCAACGGGGAAGAAGCCTCTGGGAAAGCTTAAGGTGGGAGAGCGCAGCTTATTTGGGGAGCTGGGTTGCTCAGCACAGCTGGAGGGTGCGGTGTGGGGCTGGTAGGTGGGGCCGAGAGGGGACCCTGGGAACAGGGAAGCTCAGGAATGGACTTTCCCTGACTAGGAGTTTGGCCTTCATCCTGAGGGTGGCTACAGGAGTGATCCAGACACCAGAGTGCTGTAATAAAAGGGTGACGTGGGGAAAGGGGAGGACAGGAGAGGAGGAGGCAGGCCCTGCTAGGAAGAGGCCCTGCGGGCACACCATCTTGCTGAGGATGGGAATGCCTACACTGCAGGAGGGCTGGGGAGCGAGGCCCCCATCATAGCCAGCAGTGTGAGTGTGGCCAGAGAGGTCGGTGGCTGGGACCTCTGCCTTTGCAGTCGGTCTGTGGTTTTAACCAGGCTCGGGAACCATCATATTCCTTTGCTCTGGTTCTTCACTGCTCTTCACTGAATTTTGTCTTTGAAACAAAAGAAAAAAAAGGCTCTTGACAGTGATTAAAATAAGTGCCTTTTAGGCCGGGCGCGGTGGCTCACGCCTGTAATCCTAGCTCTCTGGGAGGCCGAGACGGGTGGATTGTTTGAGCTCAGGAGTTCGAGACCAGCCTGAGCAAGAGCAAGACCCCGTCTCTACTAAAAATAGAAAGAAATGATTGGGATAACTAAAAAATATATAGAAAAAATTAGCCAGGCTTGGTGGCGCGTGCCTGTAGTCCCAGTGACTCGGGAGGCTGAGGCAGGAGGATTGCTTGAGCCCAGGAGTGTGAGGTTGCTGTGAGCTAGGCTGACGCCACGGCACTCATCTAGCCAGGACAACAGAGTGAGACTCTGTCTCAAAAAAAAAAAAAAAAAAAAAAAAAAATCTCCTTTTGATTAAAATAAGCCCCTTGTGGGGTTCTGGGTGACTTTAAAGTTTGTGTTTAAAATACAAATGTTTTTGTTTACATTTTCAGTTTTCTGATAGTGAACACAAAGATCTGTGCAATTCATTCACTCAACATATATGATTATTAGAATCCCCTAACCCCCAAATGAGCCACCTTGTCTTCAACTTGGAGGGCTGGCCCAGGGTTCATCATGCAACATGAGGAACATGGGCCTAGAGTCACAACTCCGGTGTCCTGGTCATGTCCTGCCCTTTGTGAGCACATCACCTAGGGCAGCTCTTACTGTTACTGGCCTCTGAGTGGAGGTTTTTCCAAGTTCTTGGTGTTCATCAGGCAAAGAATTTCAGTATGTACCAGGTAAGCCAAGCAAGTGACAGCTTTTGTTGAAAGGAAAACTATATTCTCAGTAAAGGAAGGGGGGCAGACTCGAAAGAGAGCAGCTGCTCTGGGAGAAGGTGATTTTAAAGCTTTTGTAGTTTTACTGATTGAGGGGAGACATATTCAAGGCAATGGCTTTGGCTTTTACTAAGAATTTGGGTAGTAATTCCTGGAATTCGGTTCTTTTCCATTTTCGTATTTTATATGATTGTCTTGGAACTATCATGGTGATTTCAAGGGCAGAGAAATTTTAAAACCACAGTGTGAATGACACTGTAACTAGCCACAGTTCATGTCAGGTGACAGGGATAGCTGGCAAGCCAGGTGAAGCCAGTCCTTGCCTGTGGTTATCAGCCCCTTTTGTTTAAGGTTGTTTCCTTTAACACCTGCACCCTGCTCAGCCCTGTGTCCTAGTCTCTTATTCTGAAGTTGTCACCTCTCTAAAGTGTCCTTGTCTCCCAGATGCGCTGACACTGCCCTGGTCTCTGCAGAGTCCTGTGAGGTCAGAGGCATAGTGCGTGTCACCGTGGTTCACAGGTAGCGCAGTAATAGCCATTCTGCTGTACGTTGCTTAAAGTACTGGTATCCCACAGCTGCGTAAAGTGATCCACTGTAAGGCATCTGGAATGCCCTCTGGTGTGGTGTACCTGTGTTCTGAAAGTGAAAAATTCTGGACTTTGTTATTTACTTGACATGCCTTAAATTAACATGCTTCAGCACGTTCCTTCCCTCTCCCGTCCTCAGGACCTGGCCATGCCCTCATCGAACAATGGAATCCCGTAGGCCTGGTTGGAATCATCACTGCGTTCAATTTCCCTGTGGCGGTGTATGGCTGGAACAATGCCATCGCCATGATCTGCGGGAACGTCTGCCTTTGGTAAGACCTGCTGGCTTTCCTGTCCAGCAGCTAGAGGGTGATAAAAGTAACCGTTTCCAGGTACTAGTAAAAAGTATTTAAAATACATTGAAGTGTTTTCTACGTACTGTACTCTTTCAGTTAACACATTAAGTCATACCTGCTAGTTGTCAAATGCTGATTTTTACTGATTATGTATTTTAACCGTTGGTAATATGCTTATTTTTTTGGCCCAGCACTGTCCTCCTGTTCCTCCCAGCTCTCTTCCCACCCCATGTGGGTGGCCGACACTCAGTCCTGACACCTACCCAGAGTTAGCATCAGGCTCCACGGGGGTAAGGGCTCAGTCCCCCACAAGACTGTCCCTGCTTCAGGTGTGAACCGCAGCGGGGGTTCCCAGGACACCTGCAGTTCTGGCCAGCTGTCTGTAGGTTTGGAGGTTCCTATGAACCCTTGGTTTCGATAGTTCACTAGAATGGCCCACAGAACTCAAGAAAGCACTGTATGTAATGATAACAGTTTTGTTGTGAAAAATATACGCAGGGCAAGGTCTGGAAGGGCTCTATAGATGTACAGCTTCCATGTGCTCTCCCAGTGGTGTTAGGACATGTCACCCTCCTGGCATGTATCAATGTGTTCGCCAACAAGGAAGCATCACTGCACTTGGGTATCCAGAATTTTTATTGGGATTTCATTATGTAGGCATGAATAAGTAAATCACTGTTGAATTCAGTCTCCAGCCCTCTTCCCCGCCCTGGAGGTGGTACACTGGCCAAAAGTCTTTCTGGTGACCAGCCCCTATCCTGAAGCTACCTAGAGTCATCGTTAGCGTAACAAAGGCACTATTATCGCTCAGGAAATTCCAAGGCGTTTTGAAGCTTCCTGCCTGAAACTGAGGAGAAAGACAGGATACATTTATTATACCGCACTTCTCAAACAGAAAACTAAGTAAACGCCTGTAGGAGGAAAAAAACTTGTGATGTCACAACCTTCTTTTTAAAGTTTGACTTTTTTTCCAATAAAAATTTTATAGTGAATTACCAAGTGATTCTGAGACACTTGGCCAAATGTTCTCATCGATGCTTTAAATTTTTCATTTTTCTGAAATATTTGATAGTAAAAATGTATATTATAGATGGCAAAACAGTTACTTGTTTTTAGCTTTCATGTTCAGTGGAAGAACTTAGTTAAGGAAAACCAGGAAAGTTGCCTTTGGCCTATTTTGCATCTGTTCCACTGGTTATTTACTGATCTTGAATGCAGTACTCCAGTGAGTGTACTCAAAGACTAGCTATAAAACAAGGCATGGTTGGGAGAATAGAATTAATAATTTGGTACCATGTTGCCAAAGGAACCCACGTTTTCCAGCATTCTAATCCAGAAAGGCTAATTATGTAGTTTTCCTTGGCTCTCTGAGCCTCGCAAGGCAAGTCTGATGAATGCAGCACATTGCTAGGTTTCTGCTTCCCTCAGTTTCCATAACTGGCTGAGATTATATAATAAATAGTTCCTGTGATCAGTGCAGCAAGTAGTTTCAGAATTGCTTGGTGCCATTTTTTATGTTCATGAAAGTTTGTAGTCCCTTAGGTCTCAGAGGCATTGAGCTGAAGGATAGATTTCTATTTCAGTTACTAGACCCATTTGTTGTCTAGTTGAACAGAGCTTTTTCTCACAAAGACTTTTGCTTCTGCTTGATAATAAAAGGTATTTATGATTTCTGTCAAATTAAGTTTCTTCCTTTTTTTTTTTTTTTTTTTTAACCTTAAGGAAAGGAGCTCCAACAACTTCCCTCATTAGTGTAGCTGTCACAAAGTAAGTATGTGTGGCTTTCGTTTTCCTGGATGTGGAATAATCTTCAAAGGGTGATTGATAGGCCCCTGACGTTTTAATCCAATGTGAAAGTGTCATATTTTTTAAGCGTGGAATTCGGATAACTTCTTTCTCCTTTGGTTATAATAACATATTTATATCATTTTGCAGTTTACAGATCTCTTCCAGAGCAATATCATTTAACTCTTTGATATCATGCTAGATATTGATATAAATGTGGAACTTGAACCCTTATAGACATTTGTTGTCACTTGGAAAATGAAAACATCTCCAGAGGAGAGGAAATGTTTTTGAAATTTGGGGACTACATTATATAACTATTCAACAAGTGAATAGTTTTGAGAATACATTTCTACCCAATTAATACTTTTATTGCTTTTGCTTAATAGACTGCTTAATTAATTAATTAATTTATTTGAGATGTAGTCTTGCTCTGTCACCCTGCCTAGAGTGCAGTGGTGTGATCATAGCTCACTGCAACCTAAAACTCCTGAGCTCAAGCGATTCTCCTGTCTCAGCCTCCCAGAGTGCAAGGATTACAGGTGCTGAGCCACCACGCCTGGCCTTAATAGACTGTTAACAAAACAGAAAGAACTGGTTATTATACTAATCCACTGATTCATCTCACACTATTTAAAGTATATTGTGTATTTTGGTTTAAAAAGTTATTAGTGTTTTACTCATTTATATTTGAGAACTTGACAGCTCTGATTAGGCCATAAAGCTAGTGTTGTTAATTTATTATTTTGGAAGTTAGAGGACATATAGAATAGGGTGCCTTCCCATGTAGGTGCAGCATGCGCTTTTGATGTTCCTTCATTGGTTGCATGGTTTGTATTCTCTGATTTAAGAATTGTTAGTGGAGAACTTATGGTAGATTCTGTATGAAAGAGGGTTTTTAATGTTAGAAGATTATTTAGAACAGTGGCTTAGGAATTAAAAAGTGGGCTGAAAAAGAGAGGGTAGTATGTATTAATATTTAGCTGAAATAAATATGCGATATTGAGGAAACAATATCCTCTAAGGCAGGAGTGTTCAAATGAGATATTAAAACACATCAAAATGATGAGATTCTGCAAGCAATATTTTAAAATAAGTTTTTTTTTTAAAGAAGAGAATAGTTAATGTGGACATAGCTGACTTGCCAAGTGTTATTAAGTAGCTGGTTAAAATATTATTCATTTGTACTAGTTTTGCTTTAAGCCTTTTTTTTTTTGTTCTGTTTTAAATAGTATGAAATGTTCATATAGCACTTTTAATATATGCTGGTTGATATTTTTCAGAGAATTGGAAATACCTGATTTTGCAATGAAAGATAATAAGTAAAATGCCGAATTTTGCTGGAATTAACCAAGGGTGGTACAGTGCCTACTGGGAGGTCTTCTTAAATTCAACTAAATGTTCAGGCTCATAAGATGACTGCAGGTCACACATAGTCCCTCTGTTTATTCAGAAGGATAGAGGACAGGAACATGGTTTGCTAGGAGGACAGCATCAGGCCTTTGTCTTCAATCGGTGTTCTTGTCGTGGTCACGCAGGTGCAAGGAGATGAGAGCCACGTTGGATAGGTGTAGGGGTTACCCTGGCTTAATAGCCTAATGCCCCACAGACACCAAAATCTCTCACAGCAATTCTATAGCCATAGCTTTCCGGTGCCACAAAGGACATGCAGTTACAAGTGTCACTGCACTCAGGGAAGGCCAAAAAGCATGGCATTTCCATTTATCGTTCACAGATAGTTATCCTAGTTCAGATGCAGTTGAACAATCTGGTCATGTTTACTGTAAGCCGTGTTGTCTAAGTAACATCGTTGATGCTCTGACATTTGTCAGGTAACCTGGGGAACAGAGCTATAGTTTAACCTAAGATTAGATTCCCGAGCCTCAGGGGAAAGGGTTTTGTTAACCTTTACCTACAGGCACAAAGCAAAATCCTTGCCCTTAAAGAGAGTTACATTTACTTGTGCAGACAGTATATACACCTTAAGTCCCACAAAAGAATTGTACAACCCAAAACCTGGTCTTGGACGTGATAGCTGCAATGCATGATCCTTGATTGGACCCTGGATTGGGGGGAAGAAAGAAAACACTTTAAAGGACATCTTTGGGGACAATTGGGGAATTTACTTAGGTATAACAATGGTATCTTTTCTGTGGAAGTAAGTGTGGGATTTGGGTCTCTTTGAAAATTAAACAAATTGGAAAATAGCCAGCAAGTCAGCATGATTCATAAATAGAACCTTTGCTCTATTGGTTCTCTGGAAGCTCAGAATGAATGGAAGAATCCTGTTTCAGAGAAACCAGAATTACTTGAGCCATTTGTAGCTCGAAATCATATTTAAGTGACATTTAACTATGTCTTATTTTAATTGTGACAGCTTAAGCTGTAGGAGAGAATGCTTTGCTTGTCCACAGTGCTTTAGCCTGAAGGACACTGATACTTTCTGACTACAGTAGTTTTGTGTGAAGCCAGTGGACACTAGTCATGAGCCTCTTCAGGGTTTGCAGGGCAGACCCCGCTCCCTTTGTTGTCTGTCCTTGGCATCTGCTCTAGGTTTCGGGGGCCTCTTCTTCCCTGTCTCATCCTTTACCATTTCCCTAACTGAGCCTTGCTTTGCAGAGGTGGGTTCAAATCTCTCATTTACTGTTGGGAACTACTTCTAGTTTTCTTTATCTTTCTAGGTCTTACCCCTTTTTTATTTCCTTTTTATTTCCTTTTCTGTTTCTTCACTATCACTTTAATGGATTTGTGGTGGGAGACCTAAAAAAAAAAGCCTGGGACCAATCTGCCATGTGGAACGAGACGTGTCTTCATAGTTTGGCAGGAAATACTAAAACGATGATCACTTGAACTACCTGAGCAGTGCTCCATGTCTTCTATTTATGTTCTATGTTCTTTTCTCCTTCTTAATATTCTTTTAGAAAAAAGGAGTTCTGCTACTAAGTGTTTGAAAATCTCCTCTATGTGAGGAGAAATCCAGGTCTTAATGTTTGAAGGTAAAGTCTATATGTACTAAGAGGGTTCTTAATGTTAGAAGATCATTTAGGAACAATGGTTTAGGAATTGGAAGGTGGGTTGGAAAAGAGAGAGGGTAGTATGTTTGAGGGGTGGGAGAGAAAGTTGGAGAAAGGAGAGGTGGTTGGAGTTTTGTTTCTCATTTTTAAAAAAATGTCCTAAGAAATTAAATTGTTGCCTATGTAATTACTTTTTCCTTCCTAGGATAATAGCTAAGGTTCTGGAGGACAACAAGCTGCCTGGTGCAATTTGTTCCTTGACTTGTGGTGGAGCAGATATCGGGTAGGTTAATAGGCTAAGAGCATCCTTCTGTTGAAGGACTCCAAGTTGACCAACTAGAATCATCTTTACTAGAAGAACAAAACAGCTAAGGAAATGAGGATGGTTCTCTGGAAACATCATGATTACGGACCTAGTTGGGCTCTTTATTAATGCATAACCTCTGTTGGAAGATGAGTAAGAATTGTCTTTTTAATTGCTCAGAGCTGCTGTTCATAAGGTGTTTATATCCTGAAATAACAAACTGCTGTAATGGTGGGCGGTCTGTGACTTCCTGACACTTGGTGTATAAAGGTGTTTACTTACAAAGCAAAGCTATAGAATTGTAGTCTGGGGTCTTACTCCCTCATGAGGAGCTAGCCTATTGCCTGAGATCTTCAGCTGACCAAAAAAAGAGAACCCTGGGAACACAGCCTCGTATTTTATTTATTTATTTATTTTTTAAACTGTCATGCAATTCACATATCATAAAATCCTCCCTTTTGAAGTGTACAATTGAGTGGTTTTCAGACTACCCTGTGCCACCATCACCACTATCTTATCCCAGGACATTCTGATCAGCTCAGAAAGAAACCCCATACCCATTAGCAATCACTTCCTGTTCCCCTCTGTCCCCAGCCCCTGGCAACCACTGATGTCCTTTGTGCTTCTATGGATTTGCTTATTTGGGATGTTTTGTATAAATGGAATCATGTAACATGTGGCCTCTCTGTCTGGCTTCTTGGCGTAACATCACAGCCTCTTTGAGGTGGAACTGACTGTCATTGCTCCGAACCATGATGAAAGCTGAGGTGGTTTTTGCCAGCTTAGGCTTTGACTCGGTGAGGTTTCCGAGGAGTCGAGTCTTATAACCCGTACTGCTGTGGCTAAAGTGTTTGTCTACTTCTAACGCTTTCAACATACTGCCGTACTTACTGAGCAGTTTCAAAAAGGAGCAATAAGTTATCATTTTTTTCATATAGATGAGAAAGTAGTGGAAAATACAATTCCCGAATATGCAGTACATAGTGAAGTATTACCTAAATGTCATTTAAAACATGAGTATTGTATCCTTTGACCTACTCTATTCTTGCTCTCAGGCATCCAGTCCTTTGTCTTGGCTTGGAATAGCTCAGCTAATTAGAGTGGCATATACAGGAGCGCTTTAAGCAGCAGCCACTTTGAGTGTCAGTGCTCGTGTTTGCTGGGTTGAACCTGGGGAGACCTCCCTAGGTAATCGAGTCACGCTGTCCAGCCCTATGTTGGCCTGCTGCTGCCCCGCTTGGCTCACACTGAACCGTTTGAAGCTCTGAACAAAGGGGTTCAAATCAATAGTGTCTGATCTGCATTCCTTAGAAACCAGTGGAAATCCTAGCATAGCCTTTGTAAGTCAGCTTCCATGAGGAATATTTTAGGATATTTCCCTATAGTCTTTTAAGTTTTTAATTCTTAAAGAAACTACACAGTGGGTTGAGAGTCTGCGAAACATCTGGAATGCTCAGCAAGGAAATGCTAAGATTCTAGCATCCAGTCAGGCACTCAGTATAAGAAGGACTGTCTTCCCTGACAGCTTCCTCTAGGTGATGTCTGTTTCCAGAGTACTCACAGAGCAGGTCAGCCTGTTCTGCTGGATGGCTCTACTTGTGAAAAATTTCTTCCTTTATCATGAAGATCTCCCTTGCTCCCCGGGGATATACTTTCTTGTCCTTTGCTTTCCGAGGGCGCACACCAGTGTTTTCTCGGTGGGTACCATTAGGTGTTGCCATTGCTGGGTTTCTCTGTTTGGGTGACCGTGTCTTTTCCCCTGCAGCACAGCAATGGCCAAAGATGAGCGAGTGAACCTACTGTCCTTCACCGGGAGCACTCAGGTGGGAAAACAGGTGGCCCTGATGGTGCAGGAGAGGTTTGGTAAGTATTGGCTTTCTCGTGAGGATTTTAATTCCCTCAGAAGTAGGGATGTGAAATCTAAAAGTTGAGTGTTTTTTTTTCCTTTGACCTTTCCGTGGAGATACTGGCCACGTTTATTTGAATGTTCAAGTAAAAGAAAGGGCTGTAGTTAGTAGTAGTTGAATGTTAGGGAAGTCCCAAATTTAAATAGCATAATTTGGAAAAGAATATCATGTTATCTCTAAATAATGATAGTAAAATGATATATAGATATTTATCAAATTCTACTAGACCTGTTTGGCAAATTAAAAAATGGCAAATCATTATTTAAACAAGACCAATGAATACAGGACCTAGAGTGGAAGACTTAAGTCTGCTCTTCTCACGTTTGTATTTCACCTGTGTATGATTGAAAAGGGTTGTATAGACATAGCTGCGTGTACTGTACTGTACTTTACGGCTGACTTTTTTTTTTTTTTTTTTGAGACAGAGTCTTGCTCTGTTGCCCAAGGTAGAGTGCCGTGGCTTCATCATAGCTCACAGCAACCTCGAACTCCTGGGCTCAAGCGATCCTTCTGCCTTAGCTTCCTGAGTAGCTGGGACCACAGGCATGCGCCACCATGCCCGGCTAATTTTATATATTTAGATTTTTAGTTGTCCGGCTAATTTCTTTCTAATTTTCTTTCTAACGGGGTCTTGCTCTTGCTCAGGCTGGTCTTGAACTCCTGACCTGAAGCGATCCACCCGCCACGGCCTCCCAGAGTGCTAGGATTACAGGTGTGAGCCACCACGCCCGGCCACAGCTGACTTTTAAATTTTTCAAGGATAGCATTGACCATCAATTTTTGGCTATTATGCTGAATTTAGACTGTAACCCCAGCAGACGATGAGACTTGACTAGTTAATCTGCCAGCCATTTTACTATGTAGGCATTGCTTTTAAAAAGCAAGTTTATGAAAAACTATTAGAAATGAAATTCAGAAAACAATTCCATTTACAGTGGCATCAAAAAGAATAAAATACTTAGGGATAAATTAAACAAAAGAATTAAGTTTTTCACATAGAGCACTACCAATCATTGTGAAAAAAAATTAAAAATGACCTAACTAAATGGAAAAACATCCCATTTTCATTTCTTGGAAAATTTAATATTAAGATATCAGTAATGTCCAAGTAATCTACAGATTCAGTGCAATCCCCATCAACTGCCTGTTTTATTATAGTTTACAACAATTGACAAGTTGATCCTGAAATCCATACGGACATGCAAATGGCCAGAACAATCTTGAAAAAGAAGCACAAATTGGAGGACTCTCACTTGCCAATTTTAAAATTTATTGCAAAACTACAGTAGTCAGGACTGTGTGGTACCAGCATAAGGACAGACATAAAGATCAATGGAGTAAAATTGAGAGTCCAGAAATAAACCCTTAAGTTTATGGTCACCTTATTTTTGACAAGGATGCCAAGACATTTCAGTGAGGAAAGAATAGTCTTTTTATCAATCGGGACTGACATGACTAGATATTCAATGCATAAGTATGAAACTAGACTCCTATTGCATCCTGTACACAGACTGAACTCAAAATGTATCAGAGACCTAAATGTAAGAGCTAAAACTATAAAACTCTTAGAAGGAATTATAGGAATAAGTCTTTGTGACCTTGGGTTAGGCAATGGTTTCTTAGATATGACACCTAAAGCACAGACAACAGAAACAACAAAAAAATAGATAAATTAGATTTCATCAAAATTAAAGACATTTTTGCTTCAAAGGACACCAGGAAAAAAGTGCAGAGGACGATCTATAGAATGGCAGGAAATATTTGTAAATTACATACCTGATAAGGAACTTGTTTCTGGAATATATAAAGAACTCTTAAAAGTTAACAGTATATTGGCTGGGCGTGGTGGCTCATGCCTGTAATCCTAGCTCTCTGGGAGGCCGAGGCGGGCGGATTGTTTGAGCTCAGGAGTTCGAAACTGGCCTGAGCAAGAGCGAGACCCCGCCTCTACTAAAAATAGAAAGAAATGAATTGGACAACTAAAAATACATAGAAAAAATTAGCCGGGCATGGTGG